GAAAGAGCGTTCAATGATTGATTAGCGTTTCTTATCTTGTTAGAACAGTTTCCACCATTTTAAAGCTTTAAATTATTGCAGATCATCGAATGCAGGAGGGTTCTGAAATGGACGTGCGCGTATGGGTATTACCTGCCCAAGAACGACCGCACCAAGATTCAATTCTTCGAGCATCTGCAAGGTTCTGTAACTTATTTTTCTCAAGATTTGCATCCAAGAACTGGTTATATTATGTTTTATATTCAAAACTAAGAGTTCTTGCCTTGTTGATCAGGTGAGGCGAAATCATGTCTGGAGAGGCTCCGCCACTGTGCAGAGAAGGAACTCGAGCAGTATCTCAACAATGCCGATTGCCCGTCAAACGATTTCGATGATTTTCGGAGAAGGTTGAGCCATTTGACCAGGTAGGCAAAAGGACAAGAGAAAAAAACCGATCTTGACAGACACAAGACATGGATAAACCCGAAAGATCCGTTATCAGATGGGATTTGTGTTTGTTGTTACAGCGTGACAAAGAACTACTTTAAGAATCTGGTGGAAGCTCTGCAGAGGGGACTGAGTCATGTAGACCCGAGCGGAGCTTGCAGCGAGTTGACCAGCTCAGAGTTTAGAAAGGGTTACGGGAGCATGACCAGAGCTGTCGTGAAGGGTAAATGAAGCAGTTCCGAGGACTGTGGAGAGCTGTCGCGAAGGGTAGATGAAGTAGTTCCAAGTGCTGCGGTTCCCTCCTTCACCAATCGTATGGTAGTTTGATACTTAGTGTATATGTGTATGTTGTGTCTTGTCTGAAACAAAATCTTGCAGAAGAAAGACCAGATAGTACGTGCGGTTTTAATAAAAATGCCCTGCCGATTTGCATATAATATGGTTTATGTATAATTTGACTGTTATTTTATTATTTTATTAGGTTATTTTGATTGGTTAATCTTAAGATGGTCATAGATCTGTTATTAATAATATATTACTCCCTCCTTTTCTTGAATAGTTATATTTTTAGAGTTTTTCATACTTTTTAAAAATATAAAAAAGGCCATATATATTTTTATTTAATAAAAATTCTTTATAATTTTAACATTTTACGTTATTAATCTAAACGTGACTTCAAATCTTTTTACAAATATTTCAAGTAAATATAATCCAAATTTATTTTTAGTTTCTTTTTTAATTAATTTATCTATTGTAAATCTTATTATCTTTAAATTTTTTATCTAGAGAGATTTTAGGAGATTATCAATTTTAAAATTTATTTATTCATACTGATAACGTTATATAGGGAAAAAAAAGTTAGTTTGATAGATAATAATAGTTGAAATATAATTAATATTTATTAAGTTTTAATGATAAAAACTAGGTTTCTGTTAATAATTTATTGGAATTGCGGTAAAATTGAAAATATTTTATAAAATTAAAAAGGAAGAATGATATTTATTTAAAAACAAAAATAGTTGTTTAAAACGTTAGTTATTATGAAACGAAAGGAGTATAAAAGATTTGTGGTACAAAAAATATATAATTTCAACTGTTTTGTTAAAACTATTCGATTAATATTATATATATAATACTTTTGTTAGTGGCGCTAAATATTTCTGTGGTAAATAAATAAGGAAGCATTATTTATTTTCGGCGACAACGTTGAAAAAGGATAGCCGAAAATCATACACTTGTTTTTGCTCTTTTTTGTTTCTTTGCCTTTTTATAAGGTGGGTTACTCCAGCAATTGAACATTAGCTCCATTTCAAGAACCGCGAACCCAAAGATCCCAGCGTCGTCGAATGTCGTAAATTTCGATCCTTTCCCCAGTTTCGTATCAAATACGCATCCTTTTGCCCTGTGATTGTTCGTCTCCCGACCGATTTTCTCTCCACCAAAGTAGGATACTTTGTTCGCGAATCCAAACCCTAGCTTGCCCAGAGGGGAGGGTTTCTTGAAATTCTTCCAATTTCTTATCTTTCGCGGTTGTTTTCTCTCTTTGGGTGTTGACCGATCATGGATTCCGAGGATGATATGCTCGATGCGCCTGATATGGACTCGGGGGAGGATGATTTCTACAGCGGCGGGACCGAGGACTACGATGACAGCGATGATGCGGAACCCGATTATGGGTTCGTTGAGGAAGACGCCGACGACTCCGCTATGATCGCCTCGCATCGCTCTCAGGTGGGTTTGATTCGGATTTTCGTTTAGGTTCGACTTTTTTCGCTTATTCGGTTGCTGATTGATGTGGAAGCTGTTGTCTTTTCAAATTGCTCCGTGGCTTCTACTTTAGCTTCTGTTGGATGCTGGAGGTCCGAATTTCGCTCATCTTTAAAGATTTTGTGTTTGTAGTGAATCTAGTCTAATTTTGGTAAATCCGTTTTTAAGGACTTTCTGGTTGAACCCTTTAATGGAAAGTGATGCAGAAGGGTTGTTCAAGATTTGAACTTTTGTTGTTTTGAGCTGATTTAGAGAGTTATGGCAGAAGAGCTTCTTAGAGTTTGGGTTCTCAAGTAGAAGAGCTTATTTAAAAGTTTTTCCTGTAAAGTGTAAACCCTTGGATAAGTATGATATTCATAACCGATACTGAGAATCTCCTGTCTGTCTTCGTCGTTTTCTGTAGCTTTATTTCCAGAGTTGGGTAGCTGAATACTAATTATAGTAGTGTTCTTACAGAGTACTTTGGTCACTAGGTGTATAGAGAGTAATAGCATGGCATAATATTCTTTCCGTTCATTTGGTTTGATAGCGAAGGTTGATCTCCTGCTCGGTTTAATCATTGAACAATTATTGTTGTATATACCTCCTTCCAGAAAAGTTATGCTGTTCTTAAGGAAGAAGATATCCGCATGCATCAGAAGGATGATATCGAGAGAGTCTCTATGGTCCTGTCCATATCTGCAGTTGAAGCTAGCATTCTACTTCGTCACTATCACTGGTAAATGCTCTTAACATTCTTTTGTGTGTACATTGTTTTCAGCATGTCCTATCTTTTCATTGATCTTTATGTGCTTCATTCTTTAAAGTTGTTTTTTTAAATAACACTTCCTTTGCTATGAGAATGTTTTCTGTATTTCTTTGTATATATATATCAATATAAGTTTTGCTCGAATATATGTTCATGGTGTTGCTCTTTGCTTTCCATAGTTTCTTAATGCTATGATAAATGTGGCATTTCAGGAGTGTTGGTAAAGTTCATGATGAATGGTTTGCAGACGAAGAAAGAGTTCGGAGGACTGTTGGCCTATTGGAAAGACCTGTTTTTCCACCTTCAGATGATGGAGAAGTAAGATCTTTACAAATAATGACTCTGAAGTGGCTTTACGTATTTCTCTCGTAATTTTTGTCTTAATGATAAAAAAATCATTTTCCTTCTAGGTTACATGTGGAATCTGTTTTGAATCCTACCCTCCCGAGAAAATTGCATCGGCTTCTTGTGGCCATCCTTTCTGCACGACATGCTGGACAGGTGTGTAGGAACTCCTAAAGCATCTCATTGTTCCATTTTGAGAACTTGAAACTTGTCTGCACCATGTGCATTCCTTATGTAATTTTCACTAGGCAAGGACAAATTAGTTTATAGAGTTCTTTCATGGGGTTGTCAGTGTGGAGATAGTTACATCATGATCTATGTCTTCCAATTTCAAATTTTCCACGTATTGTTTTTTCTGAAATTAATGTTTGTTTTGTGTTTCTGGAGAGTGCATGCCTTACCTCTTGTGCTGCATTCTTGTATAGGTTACATAAGCACAACAATCAATGATGGGCCTGGATGTTTGATGCTGAGATGTCCTGATCCATCTTGTCCTGTTGCTGTTGGTGAAGATATGATCGAGATGCTGGCATCTGAGGAAGACAAGGAGAAGTATGATAGATATTTTCTTAGGTCTTACATTGAAGACAACAGAAAGGTAAAGACATTGATAATTCATGAATCAGAATGCATACAGTTTAGCTTCCTGTATTTAGTATTGACTAATTTCCTCCTGTATTTAGTCTTTGTAGCCTGTTTCTAGTGTTGCTGGAAAAATCTTTCCGTGTAGTTTTACTACCTATATGTTTTTCCTATCCTTGAACTCGTATTGATATGGTTCTATTTCTTCCTAAACTAAATCTCTAGAGAATCCATGTTTCCTCCATCTCTTACTTTCTGCAAACTCCACTATTATGATATCTTTGATTAGGTAATTTTGGAACTGTTTTGTCTTTGCTTGTTTGGTTCAGATGAAATGGTGTCCTGCTCCAGGATGTGAGTATGCAATCGATTTTGCTGCTGGTGCTGGAAGTTATGATGTTTCCTGCCTCTGTTCTTATAGCTTTTGTTGGAATGTAAGTTCTTGGAGTTGAGTCCCTCTAAATCCCTTTCTCCTTATGTATGTAACTCTGTGGACGGAAATTTCTATTATTTCTTTGTTAAATATGAATTCCAGTGCACAGAGGAGGCTCACCGTCCTGTAGACTGTGGTACAGTTGCAAAATGGATATTAAAGAACAGCGCTGAATCGGAAAATATGAATTGGTATAGTTTCTAATCATTTTGATCTTTATGTACCTTTTTTCCTGTTTGTGGTCATTCTGATTTTTCTTTCCTGTTGTATGCCTTGGCAGATAATTATATTTCTGCATTTAGAGCTTTGCTTTTTTTTTTTCCGGCTAATTCTTTTTTCTTAATTTACATGTTAATCAACCTTTGCCTCATCATACCCAGGATACTTGCCAATTCAAAGCCTTGTCCGAAGTGTAAGCGGCCAATTGAAAAGAATCAAGGCTGCATGCACATGACTTGTACACCCCCTTGTAAATATGAATTCTGCTGGTAATGGCTGATATCTGGTTTATATATTCTTTCCTTGGTTGTTCTTTTGGCTGTTTCTTTGGAATTGTTACTGTTCAATGTCTTCCTACAGTATCTATCAATTCTAATGAGATTGACTTCATCGATAAAACTTCAGGCTTTGCCTTGGTGCATGGTCAGATCACGGGGAAAGAACCGGTGGTTTCTATGCTTGTAACCGGTATGAGGCAGCCAAGCAAGAGGGAATGGTATGACCATTGGTACTTATTTATTTGAATACACTAGTTTTTTTACAATCCTGTCATCTGATGCTCATCTTTAGCTTCTTTTCCTTTAAAGCTTTTTTTACCTTTTCTTCTGATATTTTAGTATGACGAGACTGAAAGGAGACGAGAGATGGCAAAGAATTCCCTCGAGAGATACACCCATTATTATGAACGCTGGGCTAGCAATCAGTCGGTATGCTAAATATTATACGTTTTGGTTATTATCTGTAATCAAAGTAGAAGGCACTTAATAATTTTGTTTTCATCATATGTATGTCTGTCTTTTTTGGTGCTTTGGCAGTCGAGGCAAAAAGCTATGGCTGATCTGCAGCAAATGCAAACTGTGCATGTAAGATCTACTGTCTTGTTGTTGACATTTTACCGTATTTGAAATCTTTTGCCTTTTGAACTACAGCTTAATCTGTTGTCTTCTTTTAAGAAAATTTTCATGGATTGGTTGCAACTATTTTTCTTGCTTTTTCCTTAACGATTGAATTGTTCTCTTTGCCTTTTTGCAATATGGCAACTTTTCTTTGGCCTTAGAATGAGTAATTTGGTGTTTCTTGCTTAGCTTATGTTAGCTTTTGTTGTGTTTTGTCTGAGGCTTTGGTAGGTATTTAGTCTTTTACTTGCATGGAATTGCTGTTTTTATACTCGCAATGCAGTCAATGTTAAGTTGTGGATTTAATATATAATTTTGGCTATTTGCCAGCTTGAGAAGCTTAGTGACAAACAATGCACACCAGAATCTCAGCTGAAGTTCATCACAGAGGCCTGGCTTCAGGTTAGTAGATGAAAGTATTTACGTGATAATTCTGTTTAACAGTTTCTCATGTAGTGTTACTTCTGCAGATAATTGAATGCAGACGTGTCCTTAAATGGACATATGCATATGGGTTCTACCTGCCCGAACATGAACATGCCAAGAGACAGTTTTTTGAGTATTTGCAAGGTCTGTAACTTTCGATCTGTGGATTTTGTGCTGAAGGGCTGGTTGTGTATCATGTAATAGCTTCTCCTCTGGGAAGCAACTAAACTCTGTCTTGTTGATCAGGGGAGGCAGAATCGGGTTTGGAGAGGCTCCATATATGCGCAGAGAAAGAACTGCATCAGTTTCTCAATGCCGAAGGCCAGTCCAAGGATTTTAATGATTTCCGGACGAAGTTAGCTGGTTTGACTAGGTAATCAATCATTGGTCCTGTTACTTCTATTTATAGTTTCCAGCTGGAGAATCTGAAACTGCTTTTATTTTCCCCACAATAGAGGAACAAGGTCTTTTTTCGTGGAACCGTTTGTTTAATCTATGGAGTCAATGTGTGGCACCATCAACGAGGATTGTAGTAGGATTTGTGGTGGGTTGTGACCTTATTATAGGAACCGGTATTTATATGTTCGGGTGATATGTGTCATGAAGCAACCTGATCAAAGCTCGATACTTGACATTCTGTATAATATCTGTTGCTAAGTTTCTTACTTAGCAGAGAGCTAAACCCGTGTTTCTTTTCACGTTTGCTTATGATAACAGCGTAACGAAAAACTATTTCGAGAATCTAGTGAGGGCACTGGAGAATGGTCTGGCTGATGTAGACTCTCACGCGGCTTGTAGCAGCAAGTCAATGAGCTCGAAATCAACAGGTGGATGCAGTAGCAAGACAAGAGGAGTCGGTGGTAAAGGCAAGACAAACTCCAAAGGCGGTGGGTCGGGCAGAGATGACAACTGATAGCCTTTCTCTCATTGTTCTCAGTCACATCCCTCAACGTCCATCTTTTCCGCAGCCATGTCATTTTAAGGTATTAAAAACTCGAAAGGAGGAAAAAAGATTCTCTATTGGACCGACATTTTTCATTTTCTTGATTCAGAAGATTGCAATGCTACTTGTTTTATTTCTCAGCAGTGCTCCATGTCTAGAAGAATACGAACACGGGAAAGCAACGAAACTGGGGAAAACATGGCCTTGCGTGTGTGCCAAGGGACGTAGGGTTTGTGATAAAGGTACTTAGTATGTATAGTATAAAACTGTCTATCCGCATGTTTTACTTTGAGGCGTTTGCTTTTAGTTCAATGTCTGTGAACCAGTCCTCTTCTTCTGTCTGGTTTTTTAAGGCCAAAGAAAAAAATAAGGAAAGGAAAAAAAAAAGCCTATCTGCAGGTCAATACCTTCGTCTTGCTCTCTTTGACCTAATCTCAAGGTTTGTAACATTGGATTCATGGTTTCAAGCAAGAGAAAAGAGTGGTCTCCTCAAAGCTTGTAACTTTATTACATGGACCCAAATGGATTATTTATCACTTGGTTTCTTGGTTGTGTTTGTGTTTGTGGGTCCATGTATTGTGCAAATACACGGATGTCTCAGCAGATGATGAATGGGAACCCAAATGGATTTTGTTTTTTTTTTTTTCTATTACAGATGATGCGAAAGGAGAAAAACTGTACACTACGTACTTTGATATGGATGAAATCTCTCTATTGTTTTCACATTTTGCATTTTGTTCAACCCCCAAAAGGATAATCATGAAATGGGAAACAAAGATGAACAAATGCAACAAATAAAACAGCCAATGAATCAAAGTGTCTGCACTTTGATGCATCAGAAACAAAGAAATACATGAGAGAGAGGGAGAGAGTTAACCTTTCTGGAGTTTAGTTTCTGAGACCTGAGGGTTTGTAGGTTTTGGACACGACAAGTTCCATGGATTTGTTCTTCGGAGCATTGAGTACTTTAGCTTTCTTTCTGGCAAGAGGGAATTCCACGGAATGAGATTTCGGACCGTTATTTCCTAAATCCGCCCGGCCCTCTCTGAACATTTTGATGCTCAGAGCGTTGAGCAAAGCCCTCGAGTATTGCCTTGACGCCATCTTCCAATCCGTCCCCGACTTCATCATCGCCTTGAACTCCTCAAAGCTTATCCGCCCGTCCTGCCAAAACGCACAAAGACAGAACAACTCAAGATTGTTTCACAACACAAGACTTTTTTATGTTTTTTATGTGTTGACTAAGATCGATGCTTACCTTGTTGAGATCGACGTCGAAGAAGATGTCTTTGATCCACTGGTCATTGGTATGACCAAGCTTGATGTCGAAGAGAGCTTCCTTAAGTTCGTTCAGCTCGATGAAGCCATTGTTGTTCTTGTCAAAGTATCTGAAAGCTTGGAGCAATTGGTCATCTCCTCCAATTCTTTTCATGTGGATTAATACAGTCACAAACTCCTCGCAGCTCAGCATCCCATTCCCATCTGTATCCGCCTATATATACATATATACACAAGATTATAATCGTCCTTTCTTTTATTTTCAGACAAATTCGGGTTTTTTAGTTTCTGTTTGTAGAACTCACCGCATCTATTAGCATCTTCACTTCGCTGTCTGGAACCCCTTGTCCTATCTTTCTTAGCCCGTCTCTGAGTTCTTCAAATGACAAGTGCCCGTTCTTATCCGTATCCATCATCTTGAACACCTTTATGATCCCCGCTATCTCCTCATTTGGTAAATTGTCCGCTACGATCTGGAAATACAGTTTTCAAGCTCGGTATCGATATTTTACCACTGCATTTCACACTGCATATGTATGTGTGCGTATATATAGACATACCCTGAGGACTTTCTTCTTGAACTTGTTCATCAACATGAACTGTTGGATCTTGGTCCTGACATTATCTCCGAGATTCACATTTGGAACCTTTTCCGGGTTCTGGATCCAAGGATGTTCTGTAACAGATAAAGAACAAGTTCTTGATCAGTTTCTGTCTGGATAACTGATTCGGATCTGAAGAGAAAAAAATGCTAATATGTTTGTACCCAACACTTCTTGGACCGTGAGTCTGCTGTAAGGATTTGGGTCAAGCATGTTTCTGACAAGTTCCTTGGCTTCTTCAGACACCTTCGGCCACGGATCCCTCGCGAAATCTATCTTCCCTTTGACTATCGCATGAGCGATCCCTTCATCGGTTTCTACATTCCACCAAAGCGTTAACAGGTTACGAATTTCGATATTCAGATTCAACGTCTAAACGGGATTAAGATCG